CTTGCCAGGGGATCTAACCACTGACTCAAACGTTTTGGCTTTAGATATATTTTAAGCTGTTTCTGTTGTAACAGGGTTACATTCTAAATAACATTTATTAAAGTTATTGGTTCTGCTGTTTTTATATGTGGGTGTTTTGAATAATCCTGTGGCTAGACAAATTCTGTTTTGTATGAAATCATGCCACATTTCTGAATGCCAAACCTAGATTACTCATCTAAAAGTATTTCTTGTTATAATACTGAGTCAATCATTTTTTTTTCTTCTTTTTTTATATTGTCATGTAATGTGAGCAAAATGGTACCATTAAGCTACTAAATGGCACTAATATAGACTGAAGGCAAGCAAGATTTCTCAAAACTCAGCCATGCAATTCACCTCTTCAATCTGTCTTGCAGCATGTTAACCTAGCATACTGTATATTACCAGTATGGGTTTTTAAGAGATTAAAGAAAACCCTTTTGGTGGGAAAGAATCTTATTGACCCCTTATTAATCAAGCTGCAATAATGTGTTAAATCATGCTAAAAGGTGACTATTACATTCTAAAGATGATTTACTAAAGGCAAATAGGTTGTTTCTTTTGCAAGGGTTTTTTCTCTTTGCATAGTGAATGTGGTGAAAATTAACTTTGCAAAGAATACCCAATCATATGCAAGGAAAAAACACATTATTTTTGCTTGCACATGATTGGATGTTGTACTGTAAGTCAGAAGGGCTTTATCTCATTCACTAAGCTAAGGCAAAATGTCCTTGTCATGTGTACAGTCTATTTGCCTTTTAGTTCTCTGTAGGGTCACGGGAGGACCTATAATAACGTCCTCCCATGAACCAAAACTCAGTATATAGTGGGTTATTGCCCACTATATACTGAGAGTGCCGCCGCCGGGAGGGAACCTGACAATATTGTCGAGATCCACCCTGCTGGCTGATAGCAGGCTCTGCCTATCTAGAAGCAGAACCAGTTATGCCCTCCCACTCCCCCATCCATTCCTCCAGCAAGCGCTGGAGGATCAGACAGGGGAGGGGGATCCCTGTGGGAAGTGATGACTGACAGTCACACGTCAATGGGGGTGAGTGTAATTCACTCACCCCATAGTTCTCCTTTTTTAAATTGCTATTTTTTTTTCTTGTAGTTTCGCCCTGCAGTTCCACAAGTTGAAACTAAATGGCAATCTTAGTGAACAAAAATCTACAAATTTTTGCAGTGAAATGCATTTGACCAAAATGTTGCTCTTATCTCTCAAAATAAGGTGTTTAGCTTTTGAGCATTGGGTTTGGCTATTGTGAATGCCTTTTTTAGCACTCCTTCGTAACTTCTAACATTGCATTCCACAAAGCTTCATTTTATTTTAACTTGTGTAAGTATGTACTAGCCATGCTAACGATATGATGATGTCTCTAAAGTTCAAAGGAGTTGAGTATTTCACATTCTATTGTGCTTCACATGATCCTTGTAAGCATGAAGCCCCCTGTATTTAACCACATTTCATGCATTTAACTAGTATTGAAATTCAATGCTGTTTCTGGGCAAGTACCCTAGAAATCTCACCAGGGAATGGTTACAATGCACTTTGTTAAATTGACCAAAATGAAAGACAGGCTTATATTTATGAACTGGAAAATAGACCTTTTTTTTAAAAAAAATAAAAAATGTTGCTTTATAGTAAATTGTTCATCCTGTTTTGTTTACAGATTGTATTTTATTCAATGCTTGTACAAACACTTGTAATACAAAACCATCACCTTGTAGTATAATGGCATTGCTATCATTTACTGCTAACACACTTTCGTTTAGATAAGTTTGTGACTCTCTCTCTTGTTCAAAGTGAATTAATTCCAGATGTCCTGCCTGGTCTCTCTCCTCCGTAATTATTCACTGTCTTAAAATCCTTGCTTGTAGGACTATAATGTATTTTGGGTTTTATGATTATTAGACATATCTGTAAACTAACTGCTGTACAACTGTCTAAATAGTTCCTCTAAGTAAACTGTTGAAAATTGCCCCCATTATTGATTTTTTTTTCTTCCTGCATAATACTGATTAACCAGTAGATTCTCTCCAGGGAACATACAAGTATACCTAATGCTTTTGTAAGACTTGTGGGGGTCTTTTTTAAGCATCCAAGAGCATTAGTTAGAGAGGAAGCATACTCAACAGGTTGGGCACTTCCATGGGGGACATAATGGGGTACCAATGCAAAGAGGGGGAAAAAATACCATACAGAAGTAGGTGGTCTCTTCACGCAGCATTGAAAGCAACATTAAAAACGCAAAAATCCTTTAACATGGCACACAATCAATCCAACCCCCTATGGCTGATCAAAGGATTTTAAACTTTTTTTGCAGACCCTGACATTTTATTTTGTTCTGGAGAAATGGTAGTTTTTCACCATTTCTTTTGAAACATGGAAGTGACTATGATTTAAGTCCCTAACTATTTCTCAGTGGTCATTCCCTGGCCAGGGAAGAAGGTGATTTAAGCATGATCTGTGCTTGATTGGCTTCAGTGGGCTGTAAAGGTGGCATTAGGGGTAGACCCCTAATGTCTCAAAGGGAACCTGTCACCACTAAAATGTTATCCCATATGGGGCTTGTGAGCCCCTCATGTGGTAGCAATAAAGTTAAGGTGAAAAAAGCTTTGAAAATGTTGAGAAAAAAATGAAACGTCCCAAAAAAGACCTCTGCATACATGCACATACAAATGCAAAAACCACTTCTGGTGCTCCTTATGAAAACACAAATTGTGCCACACTTTAGGTATTGCGATGTAGGTGAGAGTGAAAGCAACCATTCTAGGCTGTTACGGTGAACTTTAAATTGGTGATTTGTAAAAGCTTTTAAAGCGCCATGGGTTTACCATCGTTTTTTTACCATTTCACAGGCACATTCAATTTTAATGCTTGACATGTTTCGCCGCAGCCTCATCTTTTTATATTTTACCAAAAATTAGACTTAACTTAATTGTATTTTTTACTAAAAGTTTGATAAAACAGTTGTGCCAGTTGTACTATTATCATGCAACATAAAAAATTGCAACTGCCACCACTTTATTCTACAGGGTCTCTGCATTCAGGAAATATATACTTATGGGGAAGCCTAATTTGATCTGCAGGCCTATAATATGCTTTACATCTCCACCATAGTAGTGCTCAGCCGCACTTTACCAAAAGCTTGAGAATTGCCCTTAAAGGCCATAACACATTACATAATTCAGCTCCTACCAACTTGAATGGGTTTTGGGCACTATATTTGGATATTTTTTTTTAAATTTGGCGAATGTTCAACAAACCAAGATTTGCTTGGTTCACTCATCACTAATAGCTAAATATGAACTGTTGGGGGTGTTTAACTGTACTTTAGTACAGTTAAACCCAAAGTAGTGCTCTAGCGGCTTTAAGTTTTGATTCCACCCAAAATATGTTTAATTAGAGTTTACATCTGTTACAAAAAAAAATGACATTTATTTTGTTAAACACTGGAACGTTTAACCTAATCATATTTGGTATAAACAAAAATGTACAACTTTTTTTCTAATATGTTTCCAAGACGAATGAGCACAACAAAACACCATTTACAGAGTCGACTGGGTGACTTCCCACAACTTTTCACATTATCCATATCGTTCTATAATCAACTATGTGTAACCATGTTGACTCGGGAGTAGTCCTAGAGCATTTTTAGAAAATGGAAATAGAAAATATGCCAACTGTTAAATGTGAACCAGATTTGAAATAATAAAACATTCATTTCTCATTATTTCTCTGGCTAAATGCACCTTTTACCAAGCCAGAAAAAAATGAACTTTTTTTTAAAATTATTGTTCACAATCCATTTTTTTTTAAAATGTTTCTTCCACAGGGTTCTGGTAATGAAGATCGACAACGATGCAGTGCATGTACAGCTAAAGTAAGTGAATAACTTTTTGTTACCTCAGTATTACATTTCTGTATTTGTATAAAACGCTATTTTGTTTTTACATATTATATGTATATACTTCTGTGCCCAAGCTTTGCTTCCCAAGACCCTTTGGCAGAGATTGTGACCAATGTCTAGGTTTTCCGTCTATATTGTTCAGAAAATGTATTTAATCCCTTCTTTTCCTGTTTTTTATTTATTCTTTTTATTCTATGAATTCAATGCAGCAAAACTGCAAGGCCAACTGTAGGTGGTATTTTGACTTTTGGCAAGATTTAATGGGAATCTATAGTCCTTTCAGTGTTTCATTTTTTAAAAGTTTAATGTAAGTAATCTTATCAGCATGTATTAATAGAATAATATTGTATGCAATTCTATATCTATATAGGGGTAGCCATATTTGACGACTACATATGCAGGCTCTGCTTCCGTCAGTTGCAGGGCTGCATTATGGTTGTCCTTTACTGCTCCTTATAACAATAAACATGGATCTGATGATCACCTGTAATCAATACATTTTTATCATGGCCAATAACTTATTTCATTAGTAGAGTAGTTGCAGTGAAATAAATTGCTTCTTCTAGTGGTTATCTTTCATATACCTATATGTACTACAGTATATTTACAAAAAAAATGTGTGTGAGCATACACCTAAATGTGGTGGTGATCCTATCAAAATGCTTTCAAAATGCTTTGAGGTAAACGGCAATAATAACTAAAAACAAAATCTCCCTTGCCAAAAATGCTTTTCTTTAAGGTTAGATGGGGTAGCATATCTTTAACTGCATGTATTTTGGAATAAAATATTTAATGTTATTTGTTTTTATATATGAACTGTGCTCAAATATTTTTGTTTTTCAATACAAGTATTTTAAAGAAACTCCAGGAGGAAAATTTGTGGCCAAGGCACGCTTTTGTCTAGGTGATAAAAAAAGTTATACTTCCCAGACCATGCGAGCCGGCTTGTTCTTAGACTGGTGTCCAGAGCTTTTCTCTCCCTCTGCTGCATTGGTCTAAGGATCCTGGTGTCATCACGCTCTATACTCTGTGTATAGACGTTATGATGTTGGGGAGCAGTCCATCTGTGCAGAGGAGTTGATACGCTTCAGTGATCACAGAAGCAGGGAGCCGCTCAAATAATCTGGTGAGTATAACTTATTTTTTTTAAGCGCCTAGACATAGGTGCTTAAATTGTAGACATTATAAGCACTTAACCCTTGCATTGTGGGGGTTAGCCCCCCTGCAAGGGTTAATAACATTTTTTTCTTGCAGTTCTTCAATTACTTACAAGCTCTGACTTTTGGTACCAACTTTTTTGTCATGTGACTGTATCGCAGTCAAAGGGAGTACATATTCTTACATTTACCATAAATTATATACTAGGTAATTATTTGTGCATTGTATTATTACATGAATTTGTGGATGGATATAAAGTCTTTTTAATTGTCTAACTTAACAAAACTGATGGGTTGATGGAGGCTATAAATAAGACTCTTGGCAGACCTATCTATAAGGAGTGGCACTAAGCTAATAGCCTAGACATTGTACAGGAAATCTTAACTGCACATATGCAGAGAGAAAAATATATGTTCTAATTATATGAAAGATTTAAACTTCCAGGCATAAATAATTGCTGTTAATCTTAATTATCATGCTTATGCTTAATGATGCTTAATAATCATGTTTGATTGATATATATATATATACATATATATATATTTTCTGACTCCCCTTGTTAGAAAGCAAGAAATCATTTTTACATATATTCTAAACAGATTTTTGAGTTCAATTGTGGGTATGCCAAATTTCCCATGACAAGACTGAAAGCTTTGCAGAAAGAACTATTTCTTTACCAATAATTGGTTGGTCTCCAACTCTAACTTGTCTATAGGAGACTCTGGCCATCATTGTAGAGAAGTGTTTTACTCAATTCGTTACTTCGTGCCCCTTAACTGCAAATCTTTTTCAGATAGCTCCTCATGCATACCCCTTTATACTCCAAAGTGTTATTTGGGTTACATGTTTACTACTCCTTAAATGTGCATGTCTGTCTTCCTAACAAATCTACTATTAATACATGAATAACAATGTTAATTGTTGAAGGCTATTTCCTTAAAGTGGAACTAAACTTACAATTTAATGTATAAAAATGGTAGCAGGTAAAGATTTTGTCAGAAAAAACGTCTTTCCCTTTTTAGCTAGCCATTTTTTTTTAAATTGTACACTGATTGCAAGGCATGAGCAATGTACACTCCCATAGAGAGTAGAAACTGGGCGGTCAGAAAATGTAACTACTCATGCCAATTCATGGACATTTAAAGTATTTACATATTCTTAACAAGCAATAAATGAGCTTTAAAACAAGTCCACACTGATCTCTGTAACTGCAGTTACTGTGGGGTAATTCTTCATAGCTAGCATGACCAGAATTGCACTTTATACTATTAAATTAAGGATATTTAAGCAGCCAGCCCCACCCCATGAACCTGACACTTTCAAGAAGGCAGTACTTAATTCAGATTCTCTATGTACCTGGCTAGTACATTGATTCAGTGGTTTCAGTATTTTGAGTCTCTTTCCAAAGCAAGAATACAGATCAGGTGTTCAACAAGAAAGTGTTCTCAAGTATCCTTGATGTAGGGCGGAAGGGATCTCACAAGCGGTTGTAGTGCTGAATCGATGAACATGGCCACTGGTTGTAGGAGGCTGTGCCGGAGACTATTGATCTCTTTATGTACATTTTGGCAGGCCCTGAGGAAGGGACCCTCTGTGGCCCCCGAAATGTTGGCTGTATGACACTTGTGACAATTCAATAAATGTGCTTATACTTCTCGCACATATCGAGTGCTGGTGACTATTATGGACTGCACATTTCTGTCAAACTGTTAATTACAGTATTCACAGCTGTATCCATATGATATTGGATGTATATCTAGAAAAATCAAGGTTCTGAAGGGTGTAGAGAAAACTGGTAGGTGAGGAAAAAACATGCCAGCAATATCCGCTTCAAACGTATCCATTTTTTTTTTGCCTTGAGCACCAATATTGCATATGCGTTGTGGGGAACTGCAGTCCAGGTCTGTTGGCACATGAGTGCCATGTGTTGCTGTAAAGCGAGCTGAAATGTTCACAATCATGGACATTTATCATATAAGGTAATGCTGCTTGAGAAGGGAATGAATTTGCACTTTTTCAGTATTTTCTTTAATAGGTGACTTTTTTTCCCTTATGGCCAAAGCTTGTATATCTCATATGTGGTATATCAGGGCCAATCACAACTAGATGTCATGGTTACCTTGCTCATACCTTTTTATAAACACTGATAATCCTAAGCATATTCTACTTCCACTTCCAATAAGAAATGTGCATTTTCCTACAGTATTTAAATGGGATTTTACTGTTAAGCTTTCTTTTCCTGTAGTGTTCTTGAAATGTGGGGCACTGTGTATGAGTTATGTTAATGTGTTAGGGCAATGAATACATTAATTTCATTAGTGAATGGCCTGAAAGCAATAATTACCAGTGTAGGTGTGTCAGAAACGATCATGTTCAGTTTTGCCAGTTAATTATTAAGATTTTGTTCTGAAGGGCCCAGATCTGACATCCAGCTTTTAATTTAGCTGTAAATAAAACTCTCTAGTATGCAGGAAAGAAAAGCTAAGCCAAGAACTTGCTTTGCTCTTGGATTTCTGCTTTTATTTTTTCAATCTCGACTTCCAATAAGATGCCAAAATAATTAGTGTCAGTGATGTGAATTTTATTGCATAACCCCAAAAGGGCACATTATAATAAAAATAGCAATTTTGTTTTTTTTAATCCTCTTGTCTCTATTTAAGTTACAGTATATAAATTTTCTACTGAAAAAAAAAAAACTTGATACAACATGATCTTAAAAAGCGAGGTAGTGAGATAGTTTTATGGCTCTAAAGGATTTTGTTGTTTTTCTAAACTCTCTGGCTCTTTAATGAGTTCTCAATTTGTATTCTTTGCTTACTCTGTCCAACAAATTGCCAGAAAGGATTTCTGCCACTATAAAATATGTGTTGTGTGTCTATATGTATCTGTGTATATATACAGTCATCGCCAAAAATATTTGCACCCCTGCATTTCTGTCAGATATTGCACCACTTTGCACAGAAAATTGTTGCAATTACAAGTGTTTAGGAAATAAACATGGGAATGCCTAAACATTTGTAATTGCAACAATTTTCTGCGCTTAGTGGTATATTAATTTCAGTAATATTATTTCTAAAACCTACAATGTGCAGCGACTCCTCCATCGTACACTGAGAAAGCAATATTCTTTTAATGTCATCTTTGTCACTATTAAAGGCCATCTCCAGCTGAAATGATTTTGTTAATAGAATGCAGAAGGTTTAGAATTTTATTGCTGTCAATTATTTCATTGTGAGATTTGACCTCACAATAAAAAAGAAGGTGCATACCTCAACAAAAACAAGTGGTTCTAAGCCTTTCACACATTTAGTAATAACTGTTGCTATGTCCCCATTGTAAATTTTCGATTAGCCTTCTTTTTCTGTGATCCCCCTTCCCCTGTCAATCAAGGCAGGCATTGGTGACCTCTGGTAAACCTAATATAAAAGTTATGACTCTCATAAGTAATACACTGTTAATGTTAAGGCCTTGTTCACACCAAGCGTGACGCAGGTGCAGAGCGGAGCAGTTGCAGACCGGATCAAAACTGCGTCCAATGTATTCCAATGGTATTTTTTTGCTCCAGTTCACATCGCAGCGTGCAGTTCTAGAGCAGGTAAAAAAACTGCAGCAAGCTAAATTTTATCTGCTCTGCAACGCATGCAAACGCATCATAAATTCATGCAAATGCCTGGAATGCACTGAAAGCCCATGTTAAACAAAAAAAAAAGAATTTTTGTGTTCACCAAAAATGCGGCAAAAAACGCGGCACAACCCACTGCACTGCGTGTGCAGAAACCTGAGTGGATCTGCTCTGCATTTGGTGTGAACAAGGA